GCTCCCCGGAGAGGGCCGAGTTGACAAAGACGTTGCACAGGCTCAAGAGCAGCTTTCCTGTCAACGTTCCAATTTCCATCAGCGGCTCTACAGTATGTCAAGTCCTCATTTTAATTCTTTCCCATCTAACATATCCGTAGGTGAAAACAGAGAAGACCCGGAAACAGGAGAACCCGTCTTCCCACCGGGAAATTATTGCCGAGTATGCCATTGCCACTCCGGACCAGGTCAACGCCGCCATCGACGCTGCCCTAAAGGCGAAGCCCGCTTGGGAGGCCACTCCATTCGAGGACCGAGCTGCCATTTTCCTGCGCGCCTCGGAGTTGATCGCCGGCAAGTATCGCTCTGACATCGTCGCGGCCACCATGCTCGGCCAGGGCAAGAACATTTGGCAGGCGGAGATCGAAGCACCCACTGAGACTGTGGACTTCTTTCGCTACTACATCCAGGAGGCTTGGTCTTTGTTCGCACAGCAGCCCAAGGTTCAGCCCTCCGGGCAATGGAACAAGATGGAATACCGCCCTCTGGAGGGCTTTGTCTATTCTATCTCTCCGTTCAACTTCACTGCTCTCGGAGCCACCCTCGTCGGACCCGCTGCCTTGTTGGGAAATGTTGTCGTTTGGAAACCTTCTGACTCGGCTCTTCACTCGAGCTGGCTGCTTTATCAGATTCTGCTTGAGGCCGGGCTTCCTAAGGACGTCATCCAGTTCATCCCTGGCGACGCGGAGGAAGTCACCGACACGGTCCTGAAACGCCCTGAGTTTGGCGCACTGTCTTTCATCGGATCTACCAAGGTCTTCAAGGGCATTCAAAAGAAGATTGGAAATGGTATCGGCGACGGCATCTACAACTCCTATCCCAGAGTCGTCGGAGAGACTGGTGGTAAGAACTGGGGAGTTGTCCATTCATCTGCTGACGTCAAAAGCGCCGCCCTGAACACAATCCGAGCGTCGTTCGAGTACCAGGGACAGAAGTGTTCTGCGAACTCGCGCGTCTACGTCGCGGAGTCCGTTTGGCCCGAGTTCAAGAAGCACCTTCAGGAGGAGGTTGCACAGCTCAAGGTCGGCAACGTGGAGAATTACGAGAACTTCATCACCCCAGTCATCCACGAGCGGTCTTTCGACCAACTCAACAAGGTGATTGAGGATGCCAAGAGCGACCCCGAGCTGGAGTTGGTTGTGGGCGGCAAAGCTTCCAAGAAGGAGGGCTACTTTGTTCATCCGACCATCTACCAAACCACCAACCCGCGCCATGACATTATGTCCCGGGAGCTCTTTGGACCTATTCTCGGAGTCTACGTCTTCCCGGACAACAAATGGGAGGAGACTCTGAAGACGCTTGACACCACCTCCCGATATGCCCTTACCGGCAGCATCTTCGCTAATGACCCCTACGCCTCGCGGACGGCACAGACGATCTTGAGGCACGCGGCCGGCATGCTTTACCTGAACACCAAGTGCACTGGCTCGATGGTTGCTCAGCAGCCTTTTGGAGGCAGCCGTGACTCGGGTACCAATGATAAGACAGGCACCATGGCTCATCTACAGCGATTCGTCAGTGTCCGATCTATCAAGGAGGAGTTTATTCCCCTAGAAAAGATCCAATATCCTTCAAACGAGGTGTAAAACTTAGATAGTAAATGCCATATCTTGTCGCTTAGACTATATGTTTATTATCCTCGCTATGTAACCACGCGAAACGCTGGGTCGGAGTCATAATTTGCGATGTGCCGACATCTGATATCCTGGCGAACTCACTATGATTTGGATTAGCATCAGTAATTGCCCATTCCAGTATCAAAGCGTATCTCATCCCATTGGAGTGAAGTTTAAACTTGAGTAGGCACTACAGCTTCCTCCACGGCAGAGTAACCAGCCGTCACCCCGGCTTCTCACCCCGACTCCTTGTCTCTGTTTACCCCAACTCTTGAACTCTTCCGGCTTGGCTAACTTCGTATCGTTACGTTATATCAACGCTAGATAAAGAACACCTATACGGGGTAAATTACAAGGACCGTGGCTTGCAGGGGCTGCAGGCCCGGGTGTTGACTCCGGGGTGAGGTCAGGGGCTAGGCGGTAGGAAAGCAGGGTGAGATGATTGCCACCATAACCTTATCCCGTGATGCTCCCTGGCAGGACTAGATTCGAGACTAATCCACGTAGCCGGTAGGCCTATCTAGCCACGGGTAGGCCACGGATAGGCCTCGGGGCTTGGCAACCCCGTTCAAGACATCTTCGGCCATGACATCCGACGTCTCGTTTCGATAGTGACCCAACTCATCATCAGTCGGAATCAGTTAGGTCAAGATAGGGCCTATGAATGGCAGATTATAAGCGCGTGAGTTTAAACACTATGGCCCGATTGACCATGTATTAATACACGTCGTTTCCCCATTGTACCTCAGATATATCCACAAATCAGCACCATCGGGTTCTTCTTCATATTGCTCTTCACTAGGCACCCAGAAAGGCCCCAAGATACACCACGATCTATTCTAGACCACCATGGGGCTAGATGAGATGATGCATTCGTCCAAGTCCGGGCTAGAAAGCTCAAGCGCGGATCCAGCCCTTGAGGCCGCAACCTCTATCAACCAAGGCGATCAGCTTGGCGAGACAAGAGAAACTCAACGCGGGTTGAAGAGCCGGCACATCCAGCTCATTGCCTTGGGTATTTCCCGTCCTGATTTTAACAAAGTCCAAGAAGGCGTAGCTAACACTACCAGGTGGCACTATTGGTACTGGGCTGTTTATTGGTACCGGTGGCTCTCTAGCACAAAGCGGCCCAGGTCTGATTCATTGACGCCTAGTTCGGCTTCTTGGTTAACTGACGTGTCTTTAGCTTCTCTTCTTCTAGCATACATCATCATGTCGAGTCTGATCTGGGTCATTGTCCTGGCCTTAGGCGAAATGACATCGTACATGCCAGTCAAGGAGCTTACAGTGGCACATCCGGTAGACAGATTCCTTGACCCTAGTGTTGCGTTTGCTGTTGGTGAGTTAATGATTTAACTAACTTGATCTCCATGATTTGATTAACGCGTGTCTCCAGGCTGGAATTATTGGTAAGCCCCTGAATGGAGTCACGAACTCAAACTCTGACGAGTCTCTCGATAGGTATGCCTATTGCATGGTCCCGGGAGTCGAAGCGACCGCTGTGGCAGTCGTTATCGAGTACTGGACTACCGATGTCCATCCTGCCGTCTGGATCACGATTACCCTTTTTGGTACGCAATTCTAATCTACAATTTCTCTTTACGTACTAACGTGTTTCTTCCGGACAGTGACACTCTTTCTAAACCTCAGCGCGGTTCGCTACTTTGGTGAATGCGAGTTCTGGTTTGCCTCGATCAAGTTAATTGCCCTGGTCGGGTTGATCATTCTCGGCTTCATCCTTTGTCTCGGAGGCGGCCCGAATCACGACCGCCTGGGTTTCAGATACTGGCAGGACCCTGGCTCGTTTAAGGAGTTCCTGGTACCCGGAGACACTGGGCGATTTCTCGGCCTTTGGCAAGCGCTCATCAAGTCAGGGTTCGCTTTTATCCTCTCACCCGAGTTTCTGACCAACACAGCAGGCGAATGCCAGGCCCCGCGACGCAACATTCCCAAGGCTACAAGCAGATACATCTACCGCCTTGTTGGATTCTACGTTCTGGGAACCCTTGTGATTGGGATTCTGGTACCTTGGGATGAATCACGCCTGCTTGGCTCTTCTAATGCTTCGGCCAGCCCCTTCGTCATTGGCATCCAGAACGCCTCGATTCCTGTCCTGAATCACATTCTGAACGCTGTCATTCTTACCGCGGCTTGGTCAGCCAGCAACTCCATGCTCTACGCCGCATCGAGAATTCTGTATGGAATGGCTTGTAAAGGAGAAGCCCCAGCGGTCTTCAAGCGATGCAATCGGTGGGGTGTCCCCTGGGTCGCGGTCCTGGCATCCTTCATGCTTGGTCTTTTGGCATATCTCAACGTGTCAAGCACAGGTGCAAATGTGTTCAATTGGCTTACCAGTCTCGTCACCATGAGTGGTATGATTAACTGGATTGTCGTCCTCATAACCTTCCTCGTAAGTTTATTCGTCACCTCCGTTGATTCAGCGCAGTCAGTAACGTCGACTTTAGCAATTCCGCAAGGCAACCATCTACCATGGCATCAACGACAAGCTACCCTTCAGAAGCTACGCCCAGCCGTACTCCACTTACTACGCAATCACGTTCATGTGCTTGATCTGCTTAACGAGTGGATTCGCAGTCTTCTTCCCTGGAAGATTTAACGCCGCAGATTTCATCACGTCCTATGTGTCCATCCCTATCTTCGCATGCCTATACCTTGGGCATAAGCTTTGGACTAAGAGCCCCGGGTTTCGCAAGATCGAAGAGATCGATCTTTTCAGCGGCTTGGAAGAGGTTGAGGAGATAACAGCAAACGACGTCCCACCGGTCCCAGCCAACATTTGGGAAAAGGTTTGGTTCTGGCTGTGCTGAATAGCAGAGGAATGATTAGAACAAACGAACAAGCGTCAATAAACCTTTAATTGCCAGTTTAGCAATCCGAATGCTTTGTGGCAAGTATGAGTTGTCAATTGACTATACTTGACTACTCTGTCAAAGAGTCAAGGCCGTCTGCTCCTCTCCAGTAGTTAGATTCTTTCGTAGGCTCTTTAAAGCCAAGTTTCTAAAAAAAATCTCACGGCCGTCTATCCAACCCTCAACCCTCAAATTGAATAAATCCCTGTAAAGATGACCTTGGCTCTAGTTGAGCCCCATCTGATATGGGTCAAGACAACTGGGTCCTAGTTGAAATTTTCATTGTCTCCACCCATTCACCGGAGTCATTGTGAACTACCGAGAAGAGCACACAACTAAAAATAAGGACTTGCTACGTTTAGCATTAACGAACCGAACGAATTGATCATCCTTCGTAGGAAAGGCGCTCGTGATGTCTTCCAGGGTCATCTAGTAACTCGTCTTCAGACAGGAAGACGGACAAAAAGATAGTGATTGCGGTTTATGTGGATCGAACACATGACCTTCAGATCTTCAGTCTGACGCTCTCTGTCAGTGAAGGTTAGTTGTGCATCTTGAACGAGGACTCTGTGGTAACATACCCCAACTGAGCTAAACCCGCATGGTTGAGGTGAGGGCCTCTCGGCTGGATTATGTGTGGCCAGGCAGCACGTGGGGACAGTAAAAAGGAGGGCACAAAAAGTGAGATTTGCGGTTTATGTGGATCGAACACATGACCTTCAGATCTTCAGTCTGACGCTCTCTGTCAGTGAAGGTTAGTGATTTGCTTTGAATGAGGGATTAATGTGTGAACATACCCCAACTGAGCTAAACCCGCGTGTTTGATAAAGAGAAGTTCGCTAATGCAGACTATTCGGGTGGAGTTTAGTTAGCTTCCGTCAACCACCCTAGAGTGCGAAGGAATCCATTGTTCTTTCATTCAAGAAGGAGTTTAATTCGATAGACGGTTAGTAAGACATGGCTGTGTCTTTTTCTACTTAACACAGAGAGGCGAGAAGTCTACGGCAGAAGTTAAAAGTCTGTTTTGACCCATGATCGTAGTATGCTGTGAGAATGTGTCAAAGGTACAATCAGTGAAGTAAACTGATCATTTGGGTAAAATAATTTTAAGATCTGAATTGGCATGACTGGACTTGTTCTTACGGCGAGTAACTTCTAAACCACCGCGATATCTCAACATGAGGCTTCAAAATATTGCTGCATAAAATCAAAGACCATAATGTGTTGTGGACCTCAGAATTGGTGAATCTGATTCCTTTTGTACCCAAGCTGCTCCAAAACCCCCGGCGACCTCTTCTTGCCAACAAGTGATGCTTCCATTGCAGGGGGCCCGCACACAAAGACCTTGGTGTCTTGTACAGGAGGGGGCACAACTGCTTCCAGCAACTCCTTCGTAACGTAGCCTTTTCGGAACGGCGATCCTTCAATCGGGTGGCTGACAGTGTAGACTGCCTTGAAGCGACCAGGGAACTCCTTGGAGAACTGCTCAAACTCTTTTCGGAGCAGCACATCCGCGTCGCTATTGACACCAAAGACTAGGGTAATTGCCGTCTTGTCGTCGGGGTTCCGGAGGATGCCCTGCGCGAGCTGGTAGATGGGAGTAATTCCAGCACCTCCGGCAATAAGCGTAATGTGCGGGTGGCTGTTGGATTTCCACTGGTATCCTTTCAGAGGCGCCGCAAAGAGTAACGTTTGCCCTGGTTCTAACGAGTGTAGGTGCGTGCTGGCTTTTCCATTTGGATATTTCTTGACCAGGAGCTCTAGAAAACCCGGTTCATCTGAAAGGAGCGTGAGAGAAGTTCAAATGATAGCTGAAAGCATGCTGCACTTACCAGAGGCGCTCACGGGAGTGTAGGGACGTGGAACAGGTAGCCAACTTCCCTTCGGCCACGAAACGGTCAACAAGGCAGCTACTAAAGGTCAGTCGTTTTGAACTTTTCAAATCTTGGTGAGTTTACGTACACGTCAGAGTAAGTCCACTGACTGCATCTGCCTGAGGTAGCCTGAAGCGCAGGCGTTTGGTGTTGTGATTGACATCCTCGGAGCTCTCGAGAGGCAGAGAGACGAATGCCGGGCCGCCTTTGAAGACCTTGGGTGGAGCGTTTGACTCGGCTGAAGCGTTTCCCATGATGAGTTTGGCCATGATACCGAATCCGATACCGCCAGCGGCGAGACTGGCGATGATAGGGGCTGGTCGCGCTTGGCGAAGCTGGAGTCCCCAAGACATGGTGAGAAAAGTGACAGATTTTGAAAATCAATTGAACCAGTAGTTAATTAGACCAAAGTAACCACCCACCCGCCAGAGGCAGTATTTATCTTATTTGTAGTAGAAGGTGGCGTGGCCGCAACTTTCGGTCTATCGGTCTTTCTGACTTGTCCGGCAACCGAAACCCGTAAAAAGACGGCGAACGGCTGGGACGATCCCGGCGGAATCCACCAAAAAGTCCGTGCAAATCACCCCACGGGCCCGAAACCGCCCGAAGATGCCCGAAACCGTCAAGCAATTCCCTGCAGTGGCGTATCTTTTTGAATCCTTCCACTCACTCTATTCGTTGCAGTATGTTGTCGATTCATGTACCGTGCTTGTACGCGCAAGCCGTCTATTTCCAGCCAAGTCTGAGTTTTCCGATTCGCAAGCCACTCCCGGACTCTGGCCCCTCAGACTTTTCCTGTCTCTCTGTGTATCTCTTTTCTATCGCCTCGAGGCTGTGGCCTTTTGTCTCAAACATGAACAGGCACACTGAAATCGTGCAGACAAGGCTTGAAAAGGCAAACAAGTAGTACGCCCCGAATGTAGACTTGGCGAGCAGAACTGGAGTGACCAACGCGACGACGTAGTTTGCACACTGGCAAAACGTATTAGCATAACTTGTCTTTTATTTTATTTTTAAGATAGAGCAGACGTACCCAATTGGAACACTGCGCGAGACTCGATGCACTGCTTCTTGTCTTTCTCGGCATGCTCTCCACTACCCATGTTCGGAATCCAATGGCCCAGGTAAAGCTGAATGAAATTGCAAAAAGATAGATGGAGACGATCACTATCCATCTTCCAGCGCCGTGGTCTGGATGGACTTGGTCGGCAGCGTATAGTGAGCCCATGACGAGCATCAAGGTGGTGATCAGCACGCCTCCCAAGATCCCCGAGGTACGACGGCCCCATCGGTCTGCGAATAATGTTGCCGGAATAGTAGCCCCCATGATGACCAACGCGGACACACCAGAGGCCAGGAATGATGCTCGCTCACTGCTGAGGCCAGCCTGAGTGAACAAGATGGGAGCATAAAACAGCACGCCGTCTATTCCGCTGAATTGCTGCATGCCCATGATGAAGCAAGCGAAAGCAGTCCTGGACCTATAGGGAGCAGAGAACGCATGTGCAAATTCGCTGAAGGTCTGCATAATGCTTTGCCAAAATGTGACATTCAGGTCCAAGGCCTCGTCTGGAGGCAGGGACTGGGAAAGCAGCTCTTTCTGCTCAGCCTCGTCAAGGCCTAGCTGGGCCACAACCACCCGAGCCTCGTCTATTCTGCCTCTAGATAGGAGCCAGCGGGGCGATGGGGGCGTGATGAAGTATGTTGTCGACAAAGTGAGGCCAAGGAAGGATGCAATGGCCGGCGGTAGTCTCCATGTGATAGAGGACGTTGAGTCGCCAAGGCGCGATGTGCCGTAACAAACAAAATACCCAGTGACGAGCCCAGAAACAATGAGGAACTGAGGCAAGGCCGTCATGATGCCACGAACACGGAAAGGCGAGATCTCCGAGACCTGGACGTAGACGGTGCTGATGAACAAGCCTTCTCCGATGCCCTTTATAAGCCGGCCCAATACGAAGACGCCCAGGTTGGTAGAACCGCACTCGATGCCTGCTCCGATGCCGTAGGTGACGGAACCAACGGAAATGAGACTGGTGTGGCCGAATCGGTGGGCAAGGGCACCGGCAAGCAGAGCTGTCAAAGCACCTGGAATCAGAGATGACGAGACAATCAACCCATGAACGGTTGCTGAGAACTCGCCAAATGTGGCTTTAAAGGCCGGCATTGTTGTCACCGAACCGACGCTGCCAGTGTCGAAGCTATCGTGTATCAGCGAATTTGAAGTTTGAACTCAGGGCGTAGTGTCTACCCGAAGAGAAATGCAACGCATGATGTAATGATGCTCGCCCTCACGTAGAAAGGAACGGTGAACGCCATCATTCAGGAAGTCTCTATTGAGATATGTTCCTTTCAAGTTTGCTTCAGGTTTGCAGGATGTCGTGATCCGGAGTGTGCAAACTCTTGTCAGAGTGTGCGACTTATCTAAAGTGGACTTGCTCCAAGCCGCTAAAAAAAAAAAGTTCGATTTGCCCTCAACAAATGATAAGGTTGCGGTATCCATCCACCGCCGGGACTTGGAGGTGTGGTGGAGCGGTTGCTACAGGGCTCACTATCCAACCACATCTTTAAGCAAGGCCACGATATTTCGGGTCCGAATCATTTATCAGAGGGTTGGGCATCAGGGCAGAGTGGATCATGCAACCGGAGATAAACGAACTCGGGTCTTCACTGCCGGTGGGTCTGAAGGGAGGTGCGGTGAGGTTGCAGCACATTATCGGGACAAACTTGGGACACTTGCTCCTTTTTCAATTCGAGCATCAAGATGTGCCTTCCTATCAAACACATAAAACAGAAAAGTAATTCTAAAGCCAGACCTCTCGGGCTTTCAAATAATCTTTTGTCCTTCGCCAGATCTTTAAGGTAAGATATACAGGTTAGTTCTGGAAGACTGGAACGACGAACTAGACTAGTCCTCTGGACCCTTACTTTAGTTTGTGTAACCAGTGCTAAGAAGACCTGTTTTCTGTTCTAGGAAGGACTAGCCGCCCACGTCTAATCGGCTACCGCACCACTCAGAAGCAGGCAGATTGTGGATTGAGGAGAGAACGAGACAACAAGAAGATGTTACAATGTTGGACTATAATTGCGATTATGTTGCCACAGAAAGAAACATGTACTCCATACTCGGGTTTTCAAGTACATTACTTCATCTAATCCTTTGTCACAATCTTGTAGTGCATGCTCCCCCCTGAGTCCCGCCACAGGACCGCGTCTCCTCTTGCTCCTAGTAGGCATATCTGACCGCATCGGAGTTTCCGTCACGGTCAAGCTTCTTGTTAGTCTTAACAAGCCAAGTTCTCAGGACCCAAGTACCAGCAATGCACATGACCGCAAAGCCAGCGTTACTCGCCATGCCGATCAAGTAGCGAGGTCCGTCGCTCTCCGGGTACAGATACGCCGTGTAGATGTAGGACGCATTGGCGACGACGTTCACAATCGACAGACTGACGGACTTCTTCTCGGGCGTCGATCCAAGCGTTGCAGATACCCAGCCGAGAATCATCGAGTTGACGGCGTAAGCGCCGCTGGCGAACATGAAGCAGGCGATGTAGCGAGCGGGAGTGTTGAGCGTGGCGCAGGAGATGATGTAGCCGACCAGTGCCATGCCCATACACGCAGTGATGTGCCAGGCCCGCTCGTTGTGTCTCCCAGAAGAGATTCCGGCGAGGTATCCGAAGAAACCGGAGACGAGGTACGGAGGGCAAGTGAGCACGAGGGTGATGGT